GCACGTTAAAGGTGATCTCAAACTTAACTGCTAAAAACGTGTGAAAGTAAGAATATGCAAAATTAAGCATGTACTGATGCACTCTGCTGAACTCAGATGCACACAGAATTATTTTACTGTGGCAAAATTTCAGGGAAACACCCTTTAGCCTTAACCCAACAATTATATGCATTCACTTTGATGAGATTAAAATATATACATTATATTAAAACATAGGCTTAGAGGAAAAACTTCCATGACGCATTTCTGATTTAGGAATCTAAGTTCTAATGGGCATTTCTGTGCTCCAAAAGAGCTCAAAGTCACTAAGGTATTATGGAAAATTTTGCCGTTAGTGTTTTCCTTAGATTTATTAATAGAGGCCTGTAAAATGGCATTCAAAGCTGCACGCAATGCACCTTTTCTTTCACAGGGATTTTGGGTTTCCCTTTACCACTTATTTAATCTTCCATCACAACGTGCCAGCTTTCTCACAGCAAAGAAGCCCTCACAAAGTGAAGGTAACTAGAGATAGAAAATAGCGAGTTATCCCCTATCTCTTAAGGGTGCAAGAGAGACAACTAACGAGATCTTCCCTGCAAACACTTCATTAAGGAATTCCTTATCCAACGAGCTGCCCAGCCAGGCCTGGCTGAGGTTGTTTTTAACAGGACATAGGTGCTGTTTGCTTTTCCCAGGATCCTTCCAGGGAGGGTAATTGGAGCAATCAGAGTTTCTCTGTGGTACAGAAAGCAACCCAGAGTTCTCTACACGTGCCCATTCCACCCAGGATCCCCCTGTTCCTGCTAATCACTCCGTGGCAAAGTTTATTGGGTTTTGTATTCCAAATTGCACGTGGCCCGGGCAGGGACAGAACGCTTCCAGCGAGGGCTTTGCTGGAGAGCAGCAGGATAAACCCACGGGCATTAAAAACAACCTCGCTGCCATTTCCCCTGCGTGCCCTCGGGGTAACTGGTCTGTCACGGTCCAGAGCAGCCACCTGGGTGCCCTGCGGAGCGTGGCCGCCCCTGGGGCGCCGTGGGCTCATTCTGGGCTCTCTCTGTCCCAGCTCGTGCTGCTATTTCACAGCCACAGCTCCCGTCCAGACTCCTGGAAAACCCAAGCGGGGGCACAGAAACCCTTGTCGTCGTTACCTTGATCTGGGGGCTGGTTGTTATTTGTTGACCATCCTCCGAGTAAACTGTTTCAGTGTAGTCTCTAGCTAATAGATGCCTGCAAAGAATAAAGTACAGTTATTATTCAAAACACTTAAATTGGAGTAATTTAGAAAACAGGCAATTATGTAGCACAGAAAGTGTCCAGGGAATTTAGGTTATTAATATCAAAAGACTAGGGAAGTAAGGCTGCTGGGTGGATAATTGTGCCTGTTCATAATAGTTATGCAAAAAAAGCATGTCTCTAAAAGGAGAACAAAATTAAAGTCTCTGTATTTTATTGCTGGAATCTCCTGGTAGACGTGACAGTATCTGCTTCCATGTGCAGGGTGATCCTGCAGCAATGCAAGTCACCGTTTGTTTCTGTTTGGACAATTATTCTGAACTCTCACAATCTCCACTCCTTTTAAAGAGTGGGATCTAGCAAAAAAATAATTCAAATATTTACGTTAGATTTGAGCTGGGCCAAGCATTTAATTATAGTATATATTTAACGTGAACTGATTATAGCCTCGTTGTATTTACCCAGCCTTTAGAAACACACCTATTAAAACAGACGACTTTGATACCATTTCAAATATGATGAAGCCAGCAAGCAGCAGATCACACCTGTGCTTTATTTCGTGTTTGCTCTGCAGGGTAATGGACGTTTCTGTGTGCTCTGTTGTGTAACAACGCCCACTGCTTCTCTCTGCCCTCTGCATGGCCAGGATATATTACTTTATAAGAAGCCCAACAGCTGTAGTGCTGAGTTAAGGAGTGTTAGAAGCCTTGTTATTGAAGATAACTATTTCTGTTGTTGTTTTCCGTCTTTTGGAGAAGTTACAGAGCCAACACAGCCCCTATTTCCTAGATGTTTTTCTTGTTTTTCTTCTCTGTAGGTTCTACCAACAGAGAACAAATGAATATAACCCACAAACAATACGTGGATGTCGAAAGCTTGTAAAATCGCATGCAGCCATGAAGCATCCAGTGGGTTTAGTTAGTTGGGAAACACACGGGAGGACGGAGTTACCGGGTCTGGCTAGTCCTTCGGGTCGGTGTCACATAGCTCAGCAGTCATGTCAATCAGTGCAAGCAGTGACACGGGGCCCCCCGTCCTGTCCCGCCCTCCCCTGCCCCAGCAGCTGGAGGTTGATTCAGCAGCTGCCTCTGTGTCTCAGGAGCCCGAGTCCTGCACTTCTGTACCTGGAGACTCTGCAGAGCCACACAGGGAGGGACAAGAGTTCACAAAATGCAGCTGAACCTACTTATTTTTTCGAAGGTGGAGTATGACTTCCTCCCCGCTGGCTTTGATTCCATACACCATCGTGTCGTCGTATTTTGTCTGCAAACGAATTGAAGTGTTAGAACATGGACTGCTGGAGCTCCCGGCCCTGCTAGGAGCTTGCTGATGCACCGCTGCCAGCCACGCTCCTCTCCTCCTCTTCCCACCCAGCAGCAGCAGTTTGGCACTTCTGGAAAAGCAGGGGCTCACTTTGTTTCATAGTTGTTGCTGAGAGGAATAACTGAGCTTGCAAATCCGTTCCTGCAATCATAAACCCGCCTCCAGCACGCTCGGGAAAGTGCCAAGTGGGCACCTAACTTCAAAAAGTTTAATAGCTCTGCCTTGAAGTATGTAAGAGCATGCTTGGCTTCAAGCATTTGGTTTAACTTGCTTCAAATTAAAATATCCATAGTTTACTCAATCTGAGTAGTATCAAATTACATCTGTGCAGAGGTACAAGCACAGAAGATCCTCTAATCACCTATGGGTGCTTCCCTGCCCAACCAGCCCTGTTTTTGCCAGGCCTGGCATCGATGCATCCCCTCCATGGCTCCAAAGCCCCTTTCCTTCAAAGCCAAGGCTGCTCTGGCTCCGGAGAAGCTTACCCCTCTCCCTCCACATCCCCACAGACAAGAATCATCTCTTGCAATACCTTTGTATTGTTTCTTTCTGCATCTCTTTTATGTATGGTGTGCAATTTCTGTGGATAAACTACCTCGTATTGCTCCACTCCAGGTAATTTCTTGCTTGTGCTCCCTACAGAGAAACAAATGTACGTTTATGCAAACACAACATTCTCTTTTTAAAATAATGGGCCTGTCAGGACTTAATTTTTAAGTCCTGTGTGTTAGCTGATCTACTGCACTGCTCCATTCTCCTGTGTTCCCTGCACTGGCTCTGGGGAGTGCTCATGTGTCACTCCCCATATCTGATCTATCATAAAGCTTGTGATCCTCCAGTGTGCCCCCAAGGTGACACACCTGGCTGCTTCTAGCTCTCAGAATCCTCTATGCCATTCCCTTGGGATTTCTTTTCCCAGCAGTTGTGGTTTCCTGGACCAGCATGCTCAGCCAGCTGTGCAAGGTGCAACCTCGGCCTTTGCGTTCTGCAGACGACCTGAATTAAGTTAATGGTTCTGGGAATTAACGATGGTTCTCCTGGCAACATCACATGATAATGTACAAGGTAAGATGGCCTCCAGATAGGCAAATTATCAAATTCACTGTGAGTGTGGAATAATAAACCTGGGGTTCTCCTCTAGAAAGGCTTTCAGAACTAAACTTGACCTTTTGCTGCAGTGTGATACAAGCAGCATTTTGAGGAAAACAGGTTAGTTTTGTTCTGTAGCTACTCGTTCCTTGGAGGCAGCTTTTCAATCAACTCCATATACTACCTTTACCTTGCTCTAGGCATTATCTTGAGTCAGCTTTTAGGAGGAACAAATAATCATGTAATTTTCCAAGCAACCTAAACCAGGAAAAAGTACCATTACAGCAAGGATTTCATTGATAATGAAGTTTTGTTTATATATACCACCGTAAGCAATAGAAATGTGTGTGTATCCAGACATTCCGTGCAGCTAGTGAAATCGCAGAAATGCCTCTTTGATTACAGCCTGCATGTGTAACTGTGTGTACAAAACCTGTGCGTGCCTCTGCGTTCCGCCCTCTGCAAAGATCTCTTCCCTATTGATATGAATTGAAAGGAGGAGTGCACGTGGAAAGAAAACGTGCCTTTTGCTAAGGTGGGTCATATGGACCTCTCTGCTCACAACCTGTGAATGCCTGTTTCAGTTCAGGTAGTGTCATTAGCAGCATTCAACTTTAATTGTCCTCTAATTGCCGCCGCATCGCTGCGGTCAGTTGTCCCAATTGGATGCGTTCTCCGCTCGCTTGCGGAGGAAGCACAGTCTCAATTGGCTTTCAAAACCAACTTATGCTCAATCTTTAGCCAATCTGTGGCCAGTTTCCACACAGGTAAGTATTTCTCTGACTGGAGAAGTGAAAATAATCGCTTTGGCAAAAGAAAATAAACTCTTCAACGTCAGCAATTCTTCAATTACTTTTATTTGCTCTTCTTTGCTATTATCTGCAGGTTAATGATTACAAATTCATAAAAGCTATAGAAAGTAATCTTATAGCAGCCATTGGAGAAGAGAAGGGGGATAAAGCAGGCTTACCTTGCGGCAGCAAGCACAGCCAGACGAGCGGGACGAGCAGCGCGGTCATCGCCGCCGCGCTCGCCGCAGGGTCTCCTGGCTGGGGACGCCGGCGCGGCCGCGCTCCCTCCGCCCCTGTGCAGCCGAGGGCAGCGAGTTGTTGAGCTTTATTCTGCTTCCTACATGAGGAAGTGTTTGCTGAAGGTGTTGCACAATTCTCAAGTCACAGAGTGTTACAGCAAGCGGAAGTTCCTGCTGGTGAGTTAATGCTGCTCCGATGGTGATGTATTGAGTATTCCTTGGGAATAAGTTCTCCAAAGCTGCTCATGGGAGAAGGATGAGAGATGGGGGTTCTCCAGGTGCTCCCTGTGTTTAGGGTGGTGAGGCGGGTGCGTTCCGCCCTTCCCGGCCGTGCCGGTGTCGCAGCGGGAGCGCTCGCTGGGAGCAGGACGACGGCGCCGGGTGCCTCCGAGGACAGGGACCTCTTCCCGAGGTGGCAGCGGCCACCGCGGTCCTTGCGACCACGCAGGGCGCTCGGGAAGGTGCGAGTGAGCCTGTGAATCACACGGTATCGGCGCGCCTTTCTGCCCCCTCCGTCCGCATTAGTAATGTTTGCCCAGGTTCATGTGACAGACGTCCCACGAAAGGGGATGTGGGGGAGTGAGTAATCAAGGATCAGCTAAGCAGAGGTCTGCGTGTCTAGGTGGAAGCTCGGAGCGTTACCGCGAGGGCCGTGTCCCTGCTGGGGACACCACGGCGGAGCCGCTCGCGCAGCCGCGCTGCCCTCTCACCACACGGGACAGCGCAGGGCTGCGCCGGGCCCACCGCGTGCCCTGCCTGCGGCCATGGCCGTAGCTGGTCCTGGCTCCGTGTCCACAGCAGTGGGATCGCTGTGCGCTCGCGTTGTGCAGTTCTGTGACCAGGAGATGCGTGTGAAGGGCTGCTCCGAGGGGCAGCTCCGCGGGGCCCTGCGCTCGGCCCGGCTCCTGCTGCCCTCCCTGGCCTGGGAGCTTTGGGGTTGATTTCCTCGGTCGCGGGGCGTTTTCACAGGCGCGAGGAAGCGTCGGGTGGTTGTTCACAAGGTGAGTGGAGCCCCAACGCACCCTCCGAGGCGGCGCTCGGAGCTGCTGACGCAAACCCCGTGTTCTTCCAGCGTGCCGTGCGCTGCGCTTGGCCTCCACAAGTGCTTGGGGCCCTTGGAGCCCCATCTCATGGCAGGGAAGAGGTCTGAGAGAAAAGGCACCTGCTTTACCCAGGGCTCGTGACCAGCCTCACACCTGCTCTGCAGATGGGCTGAGCCCAGTCCTGCATGGATAGAACTGAAGGACGAGTTTGTTCCTCCAGTTATCCCCATAACAGGAATAATGGTATTCCTGTCTGCTATTTCACAAGAGGAAGGGGAAAAGGTGACCTTTGTCTGTTTGTTTGTTTGTTTGTTTTTTACCTAGATACTGCTGAAAATTTGACTCTAAATCTCTTTATGCCTCCATTCCACCCTTGTTCATTGCGGATAACAGCAATAGGTACAGGAAGGACTGGAATTTGTTGGGACACAACAGTAAGGAAGACCTGTGTAATTGCTGCAGACAGGGATAAGCAGCTGAGGGATGTTCTGTTCCTCCGTGTATCTCCAGTTGTTCCCTTGTGCCTTTCCCTTACGCAGCCTGAGGATGTTCCGACAAGCAGCCGAGCAGTTCTGCCTGCTGGCGAGGAGCAGAGTGTCCCCGTCCCGCTGCTCCCGGGAGCCCTTTCCCTGGCTCTGCTGCTTCAGCTCTATCCAAGGCCTCCCTTCCACCTTCCTCCATTTTCTTCTCCCATGCTTCAGCCCAGATTATTTTTCTGCAGATTATTTTTCTGATGTGCAAACAAGGCCGTGTGGCTTTTGCCCCTGGGATCCAGCCCTACTCTCCTGTTTGCTTCCTCTGGCTATTCCCAGCTGCATTCCAGGCTCCCCACAAGCCGCCTGCTGCTTGCCAGCCCCAGCCTTTCCCCTCCATTCTCAGAGCAGCTCCAAAACCCATGGAAGTCAACAGAAGGCCTTCTATTGCTTTCCAGGGCCTTGGGATAGGATTTACGGTTCCTCTTTAAAACCAGCTCTTTATACATAAAGCTTTTTCTTATGCTGGCCTTGGTTGTCTCACACATTCCCAAAG